CAACGGAAAATTTGATTTTATGGCAATAATTTATGTAATAATTGCGACTTTGGTATAAGTTGCCTTAAAAATAATCTTATTAAGAGTAGATTTTATGAAAGAAATTAAATAGTTTTGGGGTAAGTTGTCACACAGGAAATTTTATTGCAAAAGGATTTTTGCAAAAAATGAACTTGTTATAAATTGCTTTTAAGAAAATCTTATTTAAATGAGATTTTATGCAAGGAATTAACATAGTTTGGGGTAAGTTGTACATAGGAAAATTTGATTTTATGGCAATTTTTGCAATAATTGACTTTTGTATAAAAAAAAAAATCTGTAAAAGATTTACAAAAAATCTTATTTAGAGTAGATTTTATGAAAGAATTAACTAGTTTGAGGTAAGTTGTCACACAGAAAATTATAATTGCGAAAGGAATTTTTGTAAGGAATAAACTTGTTATATAATTTGCTTTTAAGAAAATCATATTTAAAGGAGTTTTTGTGCACAAATTACTTAGTTTGGGGTAAGTTGTCATATATAGAATTTTTATCAATGGGGGTGTTTTTTGGAAAAATTGACTTTGTTATAATTTGCCCCATCGAGAATTTCAATTGAAGTGGATTTTAGGCAAATATTGGGGTAAATTTAACTTTGGGGTAAGTTGTCTCATTGGAAAATTTAATTACAAAAAGATTTTGTCCAATTATTACCCTACTATGGGGTAAGTTGTACAAAATATAAATTTATTTTTAGAGGATTTTTTTTTCAAAAATTTCCATTCTTTTGGGATCAGTTGTGACAAACAATTTTTTTCCATAATGAAAAAATTATTTCCGATATTTGAAAATAAGGATTTTTCGTGCGAATTGAAACTTTAATACTCTACTTGGCACATATTTTCAGTTCCCGCTATAACACTCTCTATTAATACTTCCGGTTGTCTACGATCAGTATATTGATATCCGTAACGTCAACGCTATAAGCGGGATATAGTAATTAGAGCTTTCATCGAAAGGGAAGGAGACAATTAATGAGAAATAATAATTAGCGTGACACACCTCATCCATATACCATATATATGTATATATACCGTTAACTAATTAACCTTTCCAATTAATAAACAGTAAGAAAATTTTATAATTTATAACATTAATATTCTGGTTCAATATTATATTAAGAACTCTTGTTTTAATTTTTAATTCTTTTTTTTTTTAAATTAACATCACTGGGGTAAGTTGTCCCAAAATGGATATATTTAGTTTTTAGAGAATTTTTCTGAAATTAATTTTTTTTTTTTAATCACTTGTTGGGAAGATTTTTCTTTCTGTCTGGGGAATTTTTGCAAAAAGATAACTTTATCTGGGGTAAGTTGTCACAAGGGAAAATTGGTTATATGGAACAATTTTTGGATACTCCAATTTTTTATGCCTCGTCATGGTAATTATTTATCCGCTGTAAATTACCTTAGAGAGAACTTTATTTTGAGGCAATTTTACCCTGAAATTTACCTAATCGGGGGTAAGTTGTCATATAACATTATGTTACGAGGTTATTTTTGACACAATATATTTTATTTAAGAGAAAGTTGTCGTAAAGAAAATTCTACTGTCGAGTAAAATTTATTTTTTGGAAAATATTTTCAAAAGTAATCCTCCTTCGGGGTATGTTGTCCCAAAAAAAAAAAAAAAATTCTCAGGAGTAATATGTCCCACATGTATTAGCTTTAAAAAAGAAAAAAATCATCATTTATTAAATTTTTGTTGCAAAAGAAAAAAAAGTACATACCTTTAAATTTACCTTCAAACTAATGTCAATATTACCCCAACATTGAATATTGTCATAGAAAAAATGGGGGGTAAAATGGCATATCGTAAATTATTTCATGTAGTATTTTTGTACATAGAATTTCGTCTCATGCAAATAAAAATGAAATCACACATGGCTTTTAATGATGTTTACTTTTTTTGGGGTAAATTGTCACACAATAATTTTTTCATATATTAACTTATATATAATTAGTATAATGAATTGGAAAATAATGTTTTTCCAACTATTTTGTTTTTATCAATTATTATTTTTCAATAAAAATCCAAATTTCAATATTACCCCATAATTGAACATTTTCATAGAAAAAATAGGGGTAAAATTGAGTGTCGTAACCTTTAATGCTCATTGAAGTAAAATATTTATTAATGATATTTTTGCAAAAAAAAAAAAATCTGAATGTCAATATTACCCCATCATTGAATATTGTTATATAAAAAATAGGGGTACAATTGAATACCCTAAAATTTGATATTTTTATGTAAATAAAAAGGCTCTTATTAATTATTGTTTTACAAATAGAAAACCAATGTCAATATTACCCCACCATTTAATATTGTATCATTAAAAATAGGGATAATATGGAATACAGTAATATTTGATGTAGTATTTTGTACATATAGAATTTCATCTTACAAGTTTTGAAAATAAAGTGTCATCATCAGTTATCATTTATTACTTTTTTGCCGAAAATAGTAGCGCCAAATTTATATTCAATACGATGTCAATATTACCCCAACATTGTATGCTATCATAGAAAAAATAGGAATAAAATTGCCTATCGTAATTTTTTGATTTTTTTCGAACTAAAATATCATTTATCAATGTTTATTTTGCAATAAAAATCCCAATGTTAACATTACCCCATGATTGAATATTGTTATAAAAAAAAATTAGAGGCACAATTGAATATCCTAAAATTTGATATTTTTATTAAAATAAGAAATCTCTTATTAATGTTTGTTCTGGAAATATAAAACCAATGTCAATGTTACCCCATCATTCAATACTGTCCCATTAAAAATAGGTGTAAAATTGTCTATCGTAATATTTGATATATAGTATTTTGTACGTAGAATATCGTCTTACAAGTTTTGAAAATAAAGTACGTGTTATCAGTTATTAATTATAATTTTTTTAAACAAAAAAATAGTAGCGCCAAACTTATATTCAGTACAATGTCAATATTACCCCACCATTGAATACCATCATTGAAAAAATAGGGGTAAAATTGCCCAATGTAATATTTGTTGTTTTTTGCGAAATTAAATATAATTTATCAATGATTATATTGCAAAAAAAAAAATTCGAATGTCAATATTACCCCAACATTGAATGTCATCATTGAAAAAATAGGAGTAAAATTGCCCAACGTAATATTTTTTTTTGCAAACTAAAATATAATTTATCAATGATTATATTGCAAAAAAAAAATTCGAATGTCAATATTACCCCAACATTGAATGCCATCATTGAAAAAATAGGGGTAAAATTGCCCAACGTAATATTTGTTGTTTTTTGCGAACTAAAATATAATATTTATCAATGATTAAATTGCAAAAAAAAATTCGAATGTCAATATTACCCCAACATTGAATGTCATCATTGAAAAAATAGGAGTAAAATTGCCCAACGTAATATTTTTTTTTGCAAACTAAAATATAATTTATCAATGATTATATTGCAAAAAAAAAATTCGAATGTCAATATTACCCCAACATTGAATGCCATCATTGAAAAAATAGGGGTAAAATTGCCCAACGTAATATTTGTTGTTTTTTGCGACCTAAAATATAATATTTATCAATGATTAAATTGCAAAAAAAAATTCGAATGTCAATATTACCCCAACGTTGAATACCTACGTTGAAAAAACAGGGGTAAAATTGACTATCGTAATATTTGTTGTTTTTTGCGAAATAAAATATAATTTATCAATGATTATATTGCAAAAAAAAAAATTCGAATGTCAATATTACCCCAACATTGAATGTCATCATTGAAAAAATAGGGGTAAAATTGCCCAACGTAATATTTGTTGTTTTTTGCGAACTAAAATATAATATATATCAATGATTAAATTGCAAAAAAAAAATTCGAATGTCAATATTACCCCAACATTGAATACCTACATTGAAAAAATAGGTGTAAAATTGCCTATCGTAATATTTGTTGTTTTTTGCGAACTAAAATATAATATTTATCAATGATTATTTTGCAAAAAAAAACAACCCAATGACAATATTACCCCATCAGCGAAGAATATCATAGAAAAATTAGGAGTAAAATTGAATATCGTAACATTTAATTTTTTAAAAAAAATATATTTATTAATTATTTTGTCAAAAAAAAAAAAAAAATCGAATGTCAATATTACCCCATCATTGAATATTGTTGTTGAAAAAAATTAGGGGGTAAAATGGAATATCGCATAATATTTATATGGAAAGTTTTTTTTTCTGCAAATAAAATTTCATGTGTATAACATTGGATCGAAATGACGTCATACTCAGTCACACACAGAGCGGCTTCTCGGCAACGATTTTTTTCACGACAGGTCTCGACTTGATTGAAAAGGGTAAGTGCAATCATTTGCCGTTCGGTGGCGCGCGGGTGAGAGTGGTGTGAGTTTTGTGTGCTGCAGCGACGACCGGCGGCTCCACCACAACTCCACTCTCTCGACGTTCTCTCTCTCTCTCTCTCTCTCTCTCTGGTTTCTGGTAGCGTTTCGTTTGGTTTTGTCGTGGACAGCGAGTGGGTGGGGGGGGGGGGCAAGGGACGTTCAAAAAACGTGTATCTGCGCGCGCAACCGCTTTGTCTGTGCGCGCGTGGTGGTGGGACAACGTTGAACCACGAGGGGGCCACCAGGGGTCCAGGAGAGCGAACCATGGCGGACAAACGGCAACTGCATCCTTTCAGTCGGCCGCTGAACCCGCGTGCCGTTCGGTCGGCTTTCTTCTTGCACGCGTTTTTTTTCTATTTTCATTAAGAGAGAGAGAGAGAAAACAAAAAAATTTTTTTTCAAAAAATTAATCTACTTCTGTGTGTTTGTGTTTTTGCAAAAATTACAGTGTAATTTTTTTTTTTTTTAATTAAATATTCATTCACTCATATTTTTTTTTTCATGTGCAAAAAAAAAAGGATTAGAGTGACAATTTTAATTAAATTTTCACGTGTTGTGTGAATTTTTTTTCTCTTTTATTACAATAATAATTCAAAAAAAACAAAAAGGATAACAAAAAAAAAAAAAAAAGTTTTTTTTCTTCTGAAAAAGAAAAAATTTCTTTTTGTTATTATTTGTTAATGTTGCTATTGTTTTAGTAGTAGAAGTTGTTGTGTTGTTACAAAAAAAAAAAAAAAAAATTTTAACCGGAGAGCTACCGGTTAAGACATCGTTTAACAAACCAGGATTTCTTTGGGAGTATTTGTTGTTTCTCGTGCATACAGTGAATCCGCGTGCGGGCGTCGCACACGAAACCCCTTCCTGCATGGTGAGTCTATTTTTAAACTTATTCCATTAATAATATTTTACTGCTTTTAAATAGAATTCTTCGGATTTTTTTTTTTTTTTTTTATTCATTAACGATTACATTCAAGATGAAGAAACAGAAATTATTTTTTCCAACAATGGAGAGATTTAAAAAAATAAGTGTGACAATTTACCCCGTATGGGGTAAAATTTTAACTTCTGACTGAGAAGACAATAGTCTACGGGGTAATATTGTCTCACTCTTTAGTGGAAAAATTTAGTGGCACTATATTATACCCATTAATTTTTAGTGTCAATATTACCCCAAACTTTTAGGGTAATAATAGATTAAAATCTACGAGGTTTACTTTTTGGAGTAGAATTATTTGGTTGTACTATATTACCCCTTAGTTTTACGTGTCTTAATAACTATATTATTACCCTTTAAGTTTACTTGTCAATATTACCCCAAACTTGCGGGGTAATAACAGATTAAAATCCACGAGGTTTACTTTTTGGAGTAGAATTATTTGGTTGTACTATATTACCCCTTAGTTTCACGTGTCTTAATAACTATATTATTACCCTTTAAGTTTACTTGTCAATATTACCCCGAACTTGTGGGTTAATTATGTAAGATTTAAAGTTTAAAGTCCCACAAGGTAATATTGCCTTACTTTTTGGAGTAGAACTAATTTTTTGTACAATATTACCCCGCGTCAATAATAGCTCCAAAACTCGCGGGGTAATTGTATAGAATAAGACAATTTAAAGTCCACGGGGTAATATTACCTCAATTTTTGAAGTAAAACTATTTTTGCCGTACCATATTACCCCATAAGTTTTCAGGTCAATAATATTCACAAATTAGCGGGGTAATTGTGTAGAATAAGACAATTTAAAATCCACGGGGTAATATTACCTCAATTTTTAAAGTAGAACTATTTTTGTTGTACTATTTTTGTACCATATTACCCCTTAAGTTTTCGTGTCAATATTACCCCGAACTTGTGGGTTAATTATGTAAGATTTAAAGTTTAAAGTCCTACAAGGTAATATTACCTTACTTTTTTGGAGTAGAACTAATTTTTCGTACCATATTACCCCGTGTCAATAGTAGCCCCAAAAACTTGCGGGGTAATTGTATAGAATAAGACAATTTAAAGTCCACGGTGTAATATTACCTCAATTTTTGAAGTAGAACTATTTTTGCCGTACTATTTTTCTACCATATTACCCCTTAAGTTTTCGTGTCAATAATACCCCCAAATTTGCGGGGTCATTGTATATATATAGGATAAGACAGATTAAAAGTCTGTGGGGTAATAATGCCTCAATTTTTAGAGAACAATTTAGTGGTACTATATTACCCCTTAAATTTACGTGTCAATAATACCCCAAACTTGCGGGGTAATTGTATTTTTTTTTACCTATTAATAGAATAAAGAATTATTTTCGTTATACATTTTTCATATACTTTTTATGATACGAATTTTACTGGTTTGTGACAACTTACCCCAATTTTCGGGGTAAATTCTTGAATTTTAATTTACCCAACTATGGGGGTAAAATATCGTATATTTCTGTTAGAAATTTTTTTTTTTAGAATTTATCATTTTTTTTCTTAAATGTAACAAATCTTTTGACAATTTTTTCTTCTGTAAATTTTACAAAAAAAAATTTTTTTTCATTAGTTTTTTTTAATTATATTAGAAAAAAAATTACAAAATTGAAAAAAATTTTAAATTAGAAAAAAAATTATTTTCAATTTAATTAAATAATAAAAATATTAAATGAATAAATATTTTTTTTAAAAAAATAAATTTTTCTCAACATTATTATTTTGATATAATAGTAGTAATAATGATAATAAATTGAGAATCGTTTAACAGAGAAATTTTCATGAGTCAATGATTCAAGGCTTCGAGGAAGTAAATCGTGCGAAAGTAAACTGTCCTCACGAAACTCGAGACTGACATCCGCAAAATTAGTGATGCAATGTAAATACTCTCTTTCTCTCTCTAAAAACCTGACAGAGAATTCCCTTGAATTATAAAAAAAAAAAATAAAATTAACATTATATCATTCATTTGTAGAATTTTAAATTGTTTACTTATTTTTCTCTATTATTTCATTTATGTGAATGGAATTATTTATTTAAATTAATTACTTTTTTTTTATTAATTCGATTTTCTAATAAAAGTTTGATCAAAAAAAAAATTAATTGAAATTTCAATTCAAAGTTGTTACGATATATCGATTAATGTAGTTCGATATATCGATTCAAAAAAAATCGATATGTCGACCGAAAATTCGATATATCGATTCCAAAATAAAAATCGATATGTCGATTAATATTTCGATATATCGATCAATGAAGTTTAATATATCGATGAATAATAAACGATACGATGTATCGATTAATATAGTTCGATATATCGATCCAAAACTTACGATGTATCGATCAATAAAGTACGATGTATCGATAAAAAATCTACCATGTAACGATCCATACTTTACAATATATCGATTAATAAAGAATGATCTAATAAATCGATCCATTTTTCGATATATCGATCAATAAAGCACGATATAACGATAAAAATTTTATGATATATCGATTGATAAAGTACAATATATAGAGTAATAAAGTATATATATACGATATATCGATCATTAAAGAACGTTTTAATAAATCGACGAGTCGATAAATTTTTCACTATATCGATCAATAACGTACGATGTATCGATCAATAAATTTCGACATATCGATTTATAACATACAATATGTCGATCGATAAAGTTCAATAAATCTATCAATAAATATCGATCTAATAAATCGATATATCGATCAATAAAGTTCGATATATCGATCAATAAATGGACGCTTTATTAAATCGACACGTCCATTAATTATTCGATGTATCGATCAATAAAATTCTATATATCGATCGATATACAGTTCGATATATCGATTTATAATCTACAATATATCGATCCATAAAGGTCGCTTTATCAAATCGATACATCGATCCATAAAGGTCGCTTTATCAAATCGATACATCGATCAATATTATTCGATGTATCGATCGATAAAGTGCGATATATCAATCAAGGAATATCGATACATCGATCAATATTATTCGATGTATCGATCGATAAAGTGCGATATATCAATCAAGGAATATCGATACATCGATCAATATTATTCGATGTATCGATCGATAAAGTGCGATATATCAATCAAGGAATATCGATACATCGATCAATTATTCGATGTATCGATCGATAAAGTGCGATATATCGATCAAAGAATATCGATATATCGATCCATAGATCGAAATAAATATTTTTAAAAATTTTTGAAATCATTTTTCTTGGAATAAATTTGACAATAAATTTAAAAAAAAAATTTTAAAAAACATTAATTTTCCCGAAATTTTTGTTTTTATGGAATTATAAAAAAAATCGATGTTATTTTGAGTTTGAGATTGTATAATAATAAATATATATATATATATATATATATATATATATATATATAATATATGGTATATCTGAAGAGTTAGCGCGATGCTTGGACTCATGCAGCCTCGGTTTGCAGTGAAGGCAACCGCTAGTCGGGGTGGTGTTTCTTATGACCTTTCTTTCTCGCCTTTTATTTTTATTTCAACCAGTGAATCCGATGCAGGAGAGATGATAATTGCCGGCCAACTGTATAGAAACTTTGCGGATCCATTCTCGCGACGAAAAGTCTTCTCTCTCTCTCTCTCTCTCTCTCTCTCTCTCTCTCTCGATTTCTGTCGACTTTAAACAACACCATAACCAAAAGAACGGATGTGTATCTCGAAAAATTGTATATGGCTTCGGAAAAGAATCGAATGACTTTAAACATTTTTTTTTCCATCATCCTTGCGGTTTCCTTTCATTCTATATAGACAATAGTTTTCATGCTTTTGAAGCACTCATTTCTCTTGATACGCAAGAACTTCCGATTTCTTTATTAAAAAAAAAAAAAAAAAATTCTGTTTTTCACTTTTTTTTTTGCTTCGATTATTTTCCCATATATTGTATATTTATATACATATATATACACTAATTTTTAACCGCAATTTCGATACCGTAATATTTGGCTTCTTTTTTTTTTTTTGCTCGATCGTTGAAGTCAATTTCCTTTTTTTTAAATAGGGTGTGACAAAAACTATATAAGATATAGATATAAGTGTAAATATATGTAGATTTTTATTTAAATTGTTAAAACTAAAATTATTCAGTTATTATTATTTTTTGTTTGAGCAATAATTATTAGTTTCTAAACAATATTTTAATAATAATAATAATAATAATAATAATAATAATAATAATAATAATAATAATAATAATATAACAATAATAATAATAATAATAATAATAATAATAATAATAATAACCAAAAAACAAACAAAAAATAATTTCTTAGTTTTTAAACAATTAATTCCAAACAATAATTATTAGTTTTAAAACAATTTGTTTAAACAACATTTTATAAATTTTGTTGATTTTTTTTTAGTTTTGCATTATTTTTAATTAATAATATATTTGGCAAAATTTATGGGGAAAAAAAAAAATAATATTTGTTTTGAATTGTTTTTTTTTACGAGGGGAAAAAAAAAGAAAAAAAAATTAATTTCAATTGTTTAAAAAAATAATTAATGTTTAATCAAATTTATTTTAAAACAATAAGAATTTAATTTTCAAAACAATAATAATAGTAATAATTATAATTTTTTTGTTTACTCCTTATATAAAGATTAAAAGTCTATGGGGTAATTATCATTACCCCATATAGTTGATTTATATATAATTTTTATAAAAATATGTTTATATTTTTATAAAAAAATTAATTGGAAATATAAATTTTGTTTCAATCTTATAACCAAATTATAATTGTTATTTGTTTATCTATTTTTTTTTTTTAATTTCTACAGATCAGTGTAATATTTTGTTTAAACAAAAATTTTTTAAATAATAATAGCACTAATA